CCTGACCCCGGGATGGCTGAGGTGTCAGCGCAAGCTGTGGTGTGTTTTAAAAAAAAAAAAACCCTGCTCAGATGTAATAAACAGCCTCTCCATAACGTGCATGATGCACTGAGAGGATGTGAAGATCACGGAGATTTTAGTAGTTGCTGCGGTGATTGCTGGGTGGATTCGCACAGCTCACCCGCAACTCCCTCAGCCCTGGCAGCAGCGGGCCCCGCTCATCGGCGTCCAGCCGGTGCAGCGGTGTGTCCCCACGTAGCGGCGTGTCCCCACGCAGCGGTGTGTCCCCATGTGCTTTGTGCCGCCTGCCTCCAGCACGCCCACCCCACCTCACTGCTGGGAAGGACATTCCCTGCCTCCAGGAGGTTTAGCCAGTGTGCCACCTCCCTTCCTGGACGCAACCTCCTGTTTGGAAGAGAGGAGGTTTGGGAAACTGCTCTTGCTCCTTGCAGCTGACCTGAGGGCAAAGAGGGTTTGGGAGGGAACAAGGGTGAAATACCGCTGTTTTTTACTGCCCGGGTTTCTTCTATCTGTAGATAATGCTTTGCATCGCAGCATGACAGCTAAGCTTTTCTGCATTGATGTTGTGGAGCTCAAGGGTCACCTTTGTCTAACTTTTACAGATAACTGGGCAGGAATGACTCCTCGCAAACTCGACTGCATGCTCAGGTAATGAGCTATGAGCCCTCGCACATCCAGCAGCTGGACTGGATTCTCCTCTCTCCTGTGAGCGTTGCCACTGGCCTTTGGCTTCCTATCGTAAGCATCCGGTGTTAACTTATACACCTCTCTCCCTGCTTTTTCCTTCCCTTCTCAGTGTACAGAGGTGCAAAATAACTGTTCCTATACATGTACACGGTCTGCCTCAATGTGTAATGGCTGGTCTAGGGACCTATAGCAAACTTTTTGCATATCATTAACCACCCTAACGTAAGCCATTTGGCTCCTTGGTGTGCAAACTGTGTAATAAGCAGAGGAGGTGCTTTTGTGCTGGGACATAGAGAAGGTCCACATAAAACTGAACATATGTGCTGAAGTCAAACCAAGAGTCCTTTTCTGTAGACTCATGTTACGGAGGAGTTTCCCCTCTTGTCTGTCTTACTCTGTGGATGCTGAAATGAGTCGTGGCTTTAGAGGACGCGTTTATATCATGTTAATCTTTCTATGTGAAATATTTTTCTATAGTGATGAGAGAGAGTGAGGCAGGCTAATGGCAAGAGATTTAAAGCGTGATATCGTGTGATAAAGAATTTCAGTTCAGTGGGGCTTGTCTTGTAATTACATAACTAACTTCAATGAAAATAGGTTTTAAGCTTTTACTTGAACAGTGATGCAAGCCTTACAGAGAGGGTGTAACTTTACCAGGGCATTTTGAGCCCAAACACACACAGAAAGGCCTTTGCCAGGATGAGGGGTGGTTTTGCCAAAGCGGCTCTGCCTTCTTGATGCTCCTTTGGTTGCCTCTTGGACTAGAGCTTTTTAAGGCTGGAGGAAGGAGTCTTTCAGTGTGAAACTCCTGCCCTTTCTCTTTTGTTATAGCTTATCTACAGGGGTGAAGGGGCTGGGGCTTGGTTTTGTTTCTGTCTGACCATTTCATTTGATACAAGCAAAATGTGGGGGAGCAAAGCAGAGAAAATTGTTTCTTTAAATGCAGAAGACACATAACCACAGCACTTCAGAAAAGTGAGTGGGGTTCAGGAAATAAAAACCAGAGGCCCTGTCCCCTTCCTTGCCCTGTCATTGTGTGCGGTGGTGGAGGGCCATCCCCTTGCTGGTACAAACTGTCCAGAGGGGACAGTGAGAGGTGGGGCTTGGTGCAGAATTATGAAGAACAGGCACATGGGGTTTCCCTGGCCAGCTGTTGGCCTGGGTATGCAGTGCTGGAAACAGATTGCCTTGCTCCTCTACTTCTTGAGTTCCCTGTCTGTAATGTCAAAAATGTTGTGGAGGTGCTTAGGGTAAATTAGGGTTTGGAGTCCTTCCCTAGGTGCTAAAGAAATCCTTCTTGTGAGTAACTCTTCCTGACCATTTATGTGGTTCTTCAGTGGTGAAGGCAGTATAGGACTGGCAGGATTTGGCTTCTTTACCAGCAATGCAGCCATCCCGAGTCTTTCCTGTTGAACAGGAGCTAAGCTCCTTTTTGCAAAGTTACGAGCAGTAATGTGCCTGGAGTGAGGCAGCCCCATTTCCAGCTCCTTTCTGCTTTGCTTGCTTTCAGCTTTGGTTTCACAGAGAAGAATGTGAAGAGAGACCACATGTCCATTGGATTGTATGGCTTCAAGTCTGGCTCTACGCAGCTGGGGAAGGATGCCACCATCTTCACCAGACTGGAGGGGCTCTCAGCACAGGGCTGCTTTCCCAGACCTACATGGACCATGTCCATGCTGAGACAGTGATTATCCCACGGGTGTCATTCAACCAGCAAAATGGTGTTATCTCTTGGCTGAGTGACCGAGCTGCTACCCTCCTCCAAAGTGACATGGGGGACCAGTGGCACTGCCACGATGCTGAGGGCACAGGCTGCCTGCCGCTGTCCCTTGGCCACACGCACACAGCACAATGTCTGGAGAGGGTGAGAATAACTGTAATCAGTGCTGCACCTGGAGAATCCCTGCAGCAGGCCTTGCTGTTAACATGCTGCCATGTAGCATTATTCCCTTTTTCCTTGGGCTAGAACTTGCTGTGTGTCTGCTTGGGGGCATCTGCTGCTAACCTGGCTCCTGGAAAGCCTTTGCAGTCATGCCACTGACCTATGGGCTACCTGTTTCTGTCTCTTACCCCCTGCCATGCAGACCCATGTACGCATCCCCGGCCCAGGAGCTATGCTCTCTGCTGCTTTTCTACACCTGTAATGGCCTTTGGTGCCACCTGGGCATGCTGGCCTACTTCCAGCCTGTGTTTCCTTCATGCCAAAGGGAGCTGAGAATATACAGCTCTCTGGCACTGCTTGTATATTATCAGCTGGCATGACATTGCTGCCCCCGACTCGGCTTGATACTCTTAAGTATTTTTCTTCAAAGCATCCTACTGTTATGTCTGTCCTGGCTCAGTCTCTCTCTGAGACCATCCTCCTGTAGTCTGTCCTGTGTCACACTTCTCTGGAGTGTCAAGCCTGCGGCTGGGTCTTTGCAGCTAGATTTTTTTGTGCTCCTGTGGCAAAAGGGAGGTAGGTGGGACTGGGCAACCCTGTTCTCCTTGGCTCTGTGGCTTCTAGAGAAAATAATTGTTACTGAAGACTCTTTGCCTAGCCTGGACGCCATCCTGGAGCATACCCTCTTCAACACCAAGAAGGAGCTGTTGGCACAGTTTGATGCCATTCCAGGCAAAAAGGGCACACGCATCCTCATCTGGAACATATGCAGGTATGGGGCTGGGGCGTGCGGTGAGGCAGCGGTGCCCTGAGGATGGGGAAGACCTAAAAGCAGAGACAGCTTCAGCACAGCACCTGGCCTGGGTGGTCTAAGCTCGCTGTCATCCAGCCTCACCACTGGAGGAAAAAATGCAGGGATTTCTCCCTCCTCCCTGTGTATGATTGAGTGCTTGGGCTGCTCACTGGGAGTTAGGAGAGATGGGTCTAGTTCTGTCTGTCACAGGCATGTTCTTTTTTTCAGAGGAAACTAATTAATACACTTACTTCCTTTTCCCATCTGTGCAATGGAACTTCCATATTTCTGTATTATCAAGACTGTTCTGAAGTGTTCTGCACAGAAATACCTGTAATTAAATGACTGACTAATGAGATCCATGGAGCATGTGAAATACGCTGCTTTATGTGCTTCTCAGGAAGTTCCCTTGGGATCCTGATATGGAAGAGCAGACTGGGGTGTTGATGATTAGAGGAGACTGTCTGTATTTTTGTGTTTGGTGTTTTTCAGAAATAAAGACAGGAAGCTGGAGCTGGATTTTGATATGGACGAGCATGGTATTCAGATAGCAAAGTTCCTTGCAGATGATGGCGAGATCCCCAGCAGAAAGGTTCTGCACCCTCAGGAGATGGTTTCCAGAGTTTCCTGGCCTGAAAATAGAGTAAGTTGACAAGAGCTGAAAAGGAGCAGGATGGCCCTTCCCCAGCTTTGTTCTGTGCATGACTCACAGGGGATGAAAAACATTAAATCCAAACAAGATTTTGGATTCACCTGGAAAAGACTACATGTGACTAGAATTCTCCTGCCTGTTCTGTTGCGCTGTCTCCTCTTCCAGGCAAACTGCAATATCTTGTACCCGAAGACTCGCATGCAGATTGTCCTGCAACAGAAGAAGGTGAACACTCAGCTATTTGCCAAGAGCCTGGCCAACGTTGAATATGATTTTTACAAGCCAAGATTCATTGTATCCTCCCTGCCACGTCTTGGCACTCTGCTCCCACAGCAGCCTCAGCACACTGGGGGGTTCCAGACCAACCTCACAGCTGGGCTCAGGCCCATCTGGTCTGATGCATAAAGAAACGCAGGATTTAAATGACTAGAGAGGCTGAATTATCTTTTCCTTCCTGTCTTCTGGTCACCTTTGAGAAGCCAAATCCTGATGTGAAGCTCAGAAGGGAGCCCTCAAAGCTGCTGGTGCTGGACCAGTCGGTGATAGGGCTCATGGCTCACCCTGTGTGTGAGCAGGTCCCTGCCATAGCCCAAGGCTGATGTGCTGTGTCAGGGAGAATGAGGTGGAGAAGGGCTTGAGGCTTTTGCTGACTGGTCAGTTTTGCTTGGGAAAATATCTGCTGAAATGTATTTTAAATGACAGTGTTATTCAATTGAGTGGAAAAAACACTTTATCAAAATGTATTATGAGACCAGAAAAGCTTTTCTTCCCCTCTGTCCTGTTTGTCAGCAGCTGGTTGCTGACTTTTCCCGGCTGACTAGAAGTTGGTCATTTGAGTTCTTGGAGCATGTTGATTCTCATTCCCAACACCCACTCCTAGGCCACCCCAGCTCTTTGGGAATAAGATGACTTTTTTGGCTTACCTGCTGATATGTGCTTTTGGAGAGCAGTGTCCACAGAACAGAAACCAGTATCCCAAGTAAAGTCAAGTGCAAAGAACAATCTGCCCTTCAAATCTCTTCCACAAAGAGCTTTGCTTAAGCTGTTTTAAGCTACACCTAAGCATCTTTTATCCCCCCTCCTCCTATATGCTTTAAAGGTCATTTTGTGTCATGAATTTCTGTGCTTATATTAGTATGAAAAGATTGACCAAAGATGGAAAGGCGTTACTTAAATTCTATACCTACGGACTTAGTCAGGAATTGGAGAACCAGCAAAGCTGCTTTCCTGCTTTTGTAGCTTCACAGTAGTTCACATCTGTGTGCTAATGCTTTCTCCAGGGATTGTACAGCCACTGTGTTTTGAGATGATTTGCAGACATGCAGCAGGTTAGAAACCTGCAGTGGTAGTGCCCAAGCAGTAGTGGGTTTCCACTTGCTTTCCAAGGTGCTTTGGCCTTGCATAGCCGGTGCACATAAAATAACAGAGCCTTGAGATTTGGAGTTTAGCACCTGTTGTGTACAGCTAAAGTAGCATTGTATTGGAAAGCACATGATGACTACGTACATTGCAAACACATGAGCTCTGACTCTAAGAAGTAAGCAAATTGAAATGTATTTAGACAAGAAGTAGTTAATGGAGTATTTTAATCCTAAACCCACAGTTCCCCATCTAATAGCGGTCTGTCTAGAACTGATTTTGTGAAACTGGAGTCTACTGAAGGAGAGCTCGCTCTTCTTTGATGGACCTTAGTGTCATTGTTAGTTGTTAAGACTTCTTTAGCCCTGACTGGATGTGCTTGATTTGGTTTTGTAAACATTGGTTATTTATCTTTTAATCACAAGTAAAATTATTAGTCATTAGTTGTCTCATTTGTGATCTACTCCAAGGCAGTTTTCTTTGGCCAGACCTTGCCTGTTCTATTATCAGGGTAATGTAAATGCATATCAGAGTTTTTATTAAAGCTATAACCAAGGCATATCTTGACTTGGCAGTGACAGACTGGCTCCGCTCAGTACTGCTGTTTCCAGCTCCCCTCCAGTCAGTTATGTGTGTTCTTATCTGTGATTATTGGCTGTGTGCATGGGGTTGTTGTTAGCAGGCCAAGGCTGAGCACTTTTTCCCTGCTGAAGAGGGAAGGTGTTGTGCTGAGGAACGCAGCGCAGGCTGCTTGATGCTGTGGCCTCTCTGGAATGTTTCACTCCTTCCTGTGGAACTCGGGCATCCACCCTGCTCCTCCTCTGGAGCTTGTTGTTTATTTCTTCCTTGACACATTTTCCCTCAGAGCAAAAGGTTGAGGATCACCTTTGGATTCACCTGCAAGAACAAAAGCCACTATGGGATCGTGACATATCACAACAACTGGCTCATCAGATCCTATGAGAAGGTGGGTTGTCAAAGGCAGGTGTGTAGCCGGACTCGTCTTTTACCCCTTTTTATCTGGGAGAGGGGAGAATGGGGCTTTGCAAAAAGCAGCCTTGTCTTAGATCCTTACTTCTACATTGCACCGTGTCCAAAGTTGAACAAGGAGACCTGGTGTGTCCCTAGGATCAGATCAGTGTGTGCATCTGCACAGTGGGTGCCTGTCCGGGTTTTAGGTAACTAGAGATGTCCAGCTGCTGTTTAATACTGCTGTGGCTGGAGGTGCTACCAGAGGGCGGGCAGCCTGCCTCTCCTAAAGGATGATTTCCAGAAGTGGATCTGCTCTGGCAGGATAGCCTGGACTCTGCTAGGAAGTGGTTGCTGAAACATTTGCTTCTAGGTGTTATCTTGCAGCAGTATCTCATACCTTGGAGGTATGCCATAGATAATTCTGGTCTGTTAGTTAAGCCAGCCTGTGCTCTGCTTTCTGGAAGAAAAAGCTTCAGTATTATATGCCCAAAATACCTTTGCAGGGAGGTTTGTCAGGTGTTTGTACCTCACATGTGCTGTTGGTGTGCAATGCACAGGCCATGGTGTTACCATCAACCTTTGTATCAGGGCTTTGGGGTGTCAGTGCTCCCCAAAGAACTACTTTTTTTTTGTTCTGAGCCGAATTGGCTAAAGCAGCTCGTTCCCTTCATTTCTGGCTCCTGGTGCAGGGAGGAGGTGTAGGTGTGATTGGTGTAATTGAATGCAACTTCCTGAATCGAGCACATGACAGAGGACTTTGAAGAAGGCAAAGAGTACCAGTAAGAGAGACCTGTGCCCAAGGCTGCTGTTTGGAGAGGGTTTTGCTGTGATACAGCCTTTGTTCTGAGCACTGCACATGTTCTTAGGTCTGTTTATTGTGAAGTAGCCCCAGATTGGCCCATTTTTTCCTTCCCTAGTGCCCCTAGAGAGCATAGAGAATTTTATCCTAAATGTCTGGTGCAAACATATAGCCTTGGGCTGTGGAAAGGACGGTCTCTGTGTTCCTATGCTCATTCCCTCACAAGACTCCAGCCCTTAGGAGACTCCTCTGAAATAAAATGGGGCCTGTGTTCATGTACACTTTAGCAGAGCTGTCCAAACAGGGAACACACCTATAAAGCCAAAAGAAAAAGTCACGTGCTCACATGGAGCATCCAGTTAAAGGGTGCAGCAGAAACAGGCAACATCCTCCCTCCAGGCAGTAGCTTTCCTAGGGGTGCAGTACTCCACACTTTGGGAAAGGCTGCACTTCAGGAAAGGGACCTGTAGCCTGAATTTTTTTATGGTGATATTGGCCCATTTTTTGCAGCTGTGGGGTGGGTGATACAGAAGGGCTGCTAAGGTGCCAACCTAAAACCTGCAATCACAAGCATAAGTAAGGTTCTTGGGGAAGGGGTTTGTGTTTGCCCTGGTTGTTCCTTGCGCTGCCTGTTGTGCCAGTGGGAGTTGCCCAGCTTCTTATGGAGTTCTTCCTTCCAGATGGACAATTGCTGTGCTGGGACAGAAACTCAACAGCTATTAGAAGGTGAAGATGGTACAGATGAACTTGGGAAATGTGGATGCAGCTTGCATGACAGCGTAGGAACCAGTTTGCCACTGCTCCGATCTTTGCCAGCGTTAAAGGCCTGGGGGTTTCCCTTGGCCAGGGTGGGGTGGGAATGTGCCACCAGGAGGAGCAGAGGCTGCTGAGGGGTGACTGGACGACACCCTTCCTATAGGGCATTGAGATTTGAACCTGTGGAGTTTGGCCCGGTGGTTACTGGGAGGGATGCCACACCATGGGCAGCGTGTCCCCGGGAGAACAGAGTCATGGTGGCTGCCCTGGACCATTCCATGTTCTGTGCCAAATGGGCTGGGATTGCTTTGGGGTCAGGTGGCAGCACTTGTTCTGAACAGCCTTTCCTGGTGTTTACTCCACACTTGAAATACTCAGACTGAGCATTGGTTTTTGCAGAGAGAGACCACATCAGATGTGGGTAAATGTGAAGAGTGCCTGAAGTGGAGGAAGCTCCCTGACCAGGTTGACCGTACATTATTAACAGAAAGTAGGTTTTGTCATCTCCATGCTGTCATGGTTTAACCCCAGCCAGCAACTAAGCACCATGCAGCCGCTCACTTGTTCCCCCTGCCCCGGTGGGATGGGGGAGAGAATTGGACGAATTAGAGTGAGAAAACTCCTGGGTTGAGGTAAGAACAGTTTAATAATTGAAATAAAATAATAACAATATAATAATAGTAATATACAAAGCAAGTGATGCACAATGCAATTGCTCACCACCTGCCGACTGATACCCAACCAGTTCCTGAGCAGGAATCACTCCCCCCCAGCCAACCCCCCCCAGTTTATATACTGAGCATGATGTCATATGGTATGGAATAGCCCTTTGGTCAGTTTGGATCAACTATTCTGGCTGTGCCCCCTCCCAGTTTCTTGTGCACCTGGCAGAGCGTGGGAAGCTGAAAAAGTCCTTGACTAGCATAAGCAGTACTTAGCAACAACTAAAAACATCAGTGTGTTATCAGCATTCTTCTCCTACTAAATCCAAGACAGAGCACTGTGCCAGCTACTAGGAAGAAAATTAACTCTGTCCCAGCTGAAACCAGGACACATACCCTCCCCAAATACAGGTAGGAGACTCATGAATTGAGTCCTGGATGATTTTTTTCCATGCCATCTCACATCCTTGAAATACAAATGCTTGACTTCCTGCTTCCCTTCCACATACCTGTGAATACAGATCTTCATTAAAACAGGCGATGTCAAAAAAGGAACATGTTTTAGTACACGCTTGCTTTGATCACTGCCTGACCCCCTTTTTCCTCAATGTCTTTAAAAGAACAGCTGTTGATCTAGAGGAATCTGGCCATTTAAATTACAGTGCTTCTGAAGGACTGGATGGGTTTTAGTTAAATGTGCTGATTGAATTACAGTCAAATGGCAAAACTGCTAATAACAAAATACAATTTCTTGCTGAGATCTCCTGACCTGTTGGAGAATAAAAAAACCTCAAATGCTAAGCAGAAAGAACTGGTAGAGTTGGGACTGAGTCCAACCATCTGGATGTTACTGAAGGAAAGTCCTTTTATCTGATCAATAAATTCCAGGGTGCAACCAGTTTATACGGCTGAATTGCTGTTATCTGTTCAAGTTTGGCATTGCACAAAGATAGATAAGAGAGCCTTCATGATAAATTATTAAGGAAATCAGTTGGCTCTGGGGGTCGAGGAGTAAGTTTTCATAGCCTAGAAACTAGATAATAAAGCCACTTTTCAACAGAGGAGGAAGCTGATACAGGACTGCCTCCATTTAAAGCTCTTTGATACATTAAAAGTCAGTTATCTGGAAGAGGAAGCAACACAGATTACAGATGGGAGACAGTTCTTTGTCAAGCCAGACAAATGGACTGTGGGATTTGTGAGCACCTTCAGACTGACCTGGTTCAACTGAGCAATCAGCAAGGTGGTGGCAGACCAGAGCAAGCATGTAAGGTACTGTAGAAGGAGTAATTAGGATTGCCTAGGTGTACAGATAATTTCTAAGTTAGCAGTATCATCTTAGGACAGAGACGTAAGAATGTGTTGGACAGTTCACCAAAAACACCTGTGCAGTACTTGTGGCTGCCAGAAAAGTAACAGTTTCATTTCTGTTTTAAGCCTGTATATGCAGGATTTTTATCTTGTGCTTCAGGACATCACTGCAAATACATAGTGGTGCATAGAGGGAACTTTTCCTATAGACTGTTTCCACGTAACTCATGACTGGGACAGTTCCTTTCCTTTGAAGCAGCTGGTTTTCATGAGCTATGCTGCTCACATGGGTTACGATGCATTCCTCTGTCAACTCAAAACTGAAGCATAAATGACTGGCATAATATGTGGTGTGCTGAATGAACTCTGTCTCATAGTTTGTACTTCATTTCATCTATGTTATTTTGGGATTCAAGTGGCTCTTTTTCCTGTAGCCTTTAAGCACAGTGTTTGATTCTTCAGCTGTATTCTTGATCTTCTTTTATATGAAATCCTAAAGGATTAGAGACATTGCATAGGTGTCCAAACCATGAAGATTTTTGGTGGGAGAGGGGAGTCAAACTGTTCTTTCACACATTCAGGCATGGTTGACTGCTCTTGTTGCAGAAGCTGTTTGGCACCCGAGGAGCAGGAATAGAGTGATGAGAAGAGACCAGGTACAGACAGAAACGCCAGAAGGGCTGAGTATATCCAGTTCCAGTTTGCAGCTCAGCTACCTGGAGCAAGGATGGGGGAAAGAGAGGCAGGCGCTGGGTGTCCTGCATACAGGAGATGTCTGCTGCTTTTCTCTTGTTGTCCTGTTGTTCTCCAGGTGAAAGAATGTTTTACCCCTTGGTAAGACAGCAAGGAGAAACTTGCTCTTTTTCTTCCATTTTGTTGGTCTAGGGAGCTGGATGGAGAAGGGAAGAGGAGATTGTTATCATCATCTGGGGAGAGCGTGGAACAGCAAGTGAGGCAGGAGGGAGAAGGCTGCAGGAGCCAGCACAAGGAAAGCCTTGATGCTGCAGGGCTTGGCTGGTTCTCAGCCCTGTCTCACTGGAACACTTATTTGTGTTCCCTCCTGCCAAGAGAGGTGCCAACATGTGAAGATGTTGGAGTATCATATAAAATGAGAATTTGATTCTTATTTGTGTACAGCTTGGATGTGCTTAAAACTCTTAACAGTAACAGGGATCAGGGCAGTTCCAGTCCCTGCACTCAATCCTACCCTGTCCTGCCTAGTCCTAGTGTGTTCCTTCCTGCCTCTCCTGGCTAGAAGAGGGTGCAGAAAGCTGGGGTTGCAGCACAGGTCCTGTGTGGCCTCTTTCCCCATTTTAAGGTTAACTCGTTATATTAAAGACTCTGATGTTTTGAATTTTCAGGAGAAGTGTCTTTCAGACATGGCTGCCCAGGATGGGTTCTCTGGGCAGCTCTGTGACACTGCAGTGAGGGACCCTTTGTGGCAGGTGGTGTTTCAAAGACTGCTGCAAGACTGCTCCTGTTTGGCTCTTCCCTTTTGGATGGAAGGGGAAATGAGGCGAGCAGCTGTGGTGCTGGCATGACCCACAGTGGAGCACCCTGGCACAGCGTACCAGGGGGTTTCCTGAACTGGGGAAACCTGAGGGGAGTGGAGACACCCACCAGGAGCTGGCAGCTCGTGTGAGAGTGGCTGATGAGAGCTGGGTGGTGCCAGGAGCAGCCACGGCCAAGCCCCCACAGCTACAAAAGAAACCCCTGGAGAGCATCAGCCAGGGCATGGTGCGGCAGGGTGTGCAGGAAGGGTGCTGTAACTCTGCTGGCTCGATCAGGGAGCAGTGGTCTCTACCGGGCAGAAGGCTATGTCTTCAACTTGATGCAGCTTCCCAGACAGAACTCTGATGGGAACATGCTGCTTCCCAGGTGCCAGGCTGCAGGGTGTGCCCTACTCTTACACCAGTACTGGATGGCTGCAGAGGAAATCCTCAGCTTAGTGGCAGAGCTCCGGAAGGAGGTGATTAGGTTGAGGAGTATCAGGGAGTCCGAGAGAGAACCGCACCCTACCTTCCCTGGGACAGGCCTGTCAGGCAGACAGGACACATGATACGGCGGATTCCCTATCCTCTCTCCACCTGGCTGAGCACGGTGACTTAAGGGATAGGGGGGAATGGCAACAAGTTCCTTCCTGACGCAGCAGGCGCATCTCCTCTGTGACTACCCCACCTTCCCAGGTGCCCTTGCATAATAGGTGCGAGGCTCTGCAAATGGAACCAAACAGTGATGAGGACGATGGTCCATCTAGGTTGGAGGTGTTGCTAAGGTCAAGTCAGCCTGTGCCCCACATCAAAACCACTTCCATTAAGAAAAAAAGACAGGTTATTGTTGTGGGAGACTCTCTTCTGAGGGGAACAGAAGGCCCAATATGCCAACCAGTTAGTAATGTCCCCTGGGAATCTGCTTTTGAAGGTATTGGGGTCCCTAAATGCTGGTTGCTTTTTAAGAGCCATCTCTTAAGAGCATAGAACCAGGCAATTTCAAAGTGTCAGAAGTCAAGCAAATGGGGCAGAAGGCTGGCTTGGGTGAGCAGGGATCTTCTAGAACTTAGGTGGAAAAGGAAAGCATATGGACAATGGAAGCAAGGATGGGTGACACAGGAGGACTGCAGAGATGCTGTTTGCCATTGTAGGGAGAAAATACATGCGGCCAAAGCTCAATTAGATTTCAAGCTGGCCAATACTGTGAAGGACAACAAAAAGGTCTTTTTAAAATATGTTAACGGCAAAAGGAGGATCAGAGATAACATTGGTCTGTTACTTGATGAGATTGGTCATCTCACAAATAGGGACGTAGACAAAGCGGAGACATCTAATGCCTTCTTTGCCTCTGTCTTCAACACCACTGATGGGCCCTGGGACCCCTGTAGCCCTGTGTTGGAAGACAGTGACTGCGGGGATGATGACCTTGCAGCCAAACCTGAACTTGTTTGAGACTTGCTGCTCCAGGTGGATGTGCATAAGTCTGTGGGGCCCAATGGGATTCATCCCAGGGTACTGGAAGAGCTGGTCGATGGCATCACAGGACCTCTCTCCATTATTTTTCAATGGTCTTGGGAGGCTGGAGAGGTCCCAGTAGACTGGAAGCTGGCAAACATTGTCCTAGTTTTCAAGAAGGGTAAGAAGGAACACCCTGGTAATTACAGGCCTGTCAGTGTCACTTCAGTGCCTGGTAAAATTATGGAGAATTATTATTCTGGGAGTTACTGAAAAACACTTGAGAGACAATGCAGTCATTGGTCACAGCCAGCATAGGTTCACAAGGGGAAAGTCCTATTTAACAAACTTAATTGTTAGTTGACCAAGGGAAGCCAGTAGGTGTGTTTTTATTTTAGGAAAGCTTTTGATACTGTCTCTCACAGTATCCTTCTGGACAAAATATCCAGCACACTGCTAGACAAGTCCATAATACAATGCATGAGCAATTGGTTGACAGGTCGGGCTTGGTATGGGTTATGGTAAATGGGGTTATATCAGGCTGGCAGCCAGTCACCAATGGGGTTCCCCAGGGCTCAACTTCAGGGCAAGTGCTTTTTAATGTTTTCATAAATGATCTGGATGCAGGAATGTACATTAAATAAGCTTGCTGATGATACTAAACAAGGAGGAGCTGTGGACTCTCTCAAGGATAGAGAGGCCTTAGAGAGAGATCTGGATAGACTAGAGAGCTGGGCAATCACCAACCATATGAAGTTTAACAAGAGCAAGTGCCAAATTCTGCACCTGTGATGGGGTAGTCCTGGTTATACATACAAACTGGGATAGCAGCCCCACAGAAAGAGATCTGGGGGTTTGGGTTGATGGCAAGCTGAATATGAGTCAACAGTGTGCCCTGGTAGCCAAAAGGGCCAACTGTATCCTGGGGTGCATCAAACACAGCATCACTAGCTGGTCAAGGGAGGTGATTGTCCCACTCTACACTGTGCTGGTGCGGCCCCACCTCGAGTCCTGTGTGTAATTTTGGGTGCCTCAGTATAAGAAGGACATCAAACTGTTAGAGTGTTTCCAGAGGAGGGTGACCAAGATGGTGAAAGGCCTCCTGGGCAAGACTTAGGAGGAGCGGCTGAGGTCACTTGGTTTGTTCAGCTTGGAGAAGGCTGAGGAGTGACCTCATCACAGTCTACAACTTCCTCAAGGCAGGCAGGGGAACGGGAGGTGCTGATCTCCTCTCTCTGGTGACCACCGATAGAACATGAGGAAATTGAATGAAGCTGCGTCAGGGGAAGTTCAAATTGGACATTAGGAAAAGGTTCTTCACTGAGAGGGTGGTTGGTCACTGGAACAGGCTCCCCAGGCAAATGGTCATGGCACCAAGCCTGTCAGAGTCGAGGAGCATCCGGACAATGCTCTTAGTCATGTGGTTTAGCTTTAGGTAGTCCTGTGAGGAGCAGGGAGTTGGTCTTGATGATCCTTATGTGTCCCAACTCGAGATATTCTATGATTCTACTTGACAGATCAAAGGTGGAGAAAGCCCTATGGCTCAGCAGCAGAGACAGAGGAGGAAGAGAATTGCAGATCCTTAACACACAGGAGCACGAAGATATAATGGAGTGGGAGAATGTGAGAAGACCAGTGGAGAATATCTTTGTGGAACTGAAGACTATTTCAGCGGAGTAGGATGTGCTCCAGTGCAAGGTAGTGAATTTGTGGCTATGCATCCCTGCTGGTTTGGAGGGTGTTGGAGAGAGCAGGCCAAAGTGGGTTGAGGAGGAGTGACTTCTCCATAAAGAATGTAGTGGGCTGCTTCCTTGATCTGCTGACTCTTAACTTCTTCAGGCCTGGCAAAGCTCTTTTTATCTTCCTGATTGATATAGTTCCTGTGCATGCACCCTCCTCCCATTTCAGGTGGAGAAAACTGAGCGTGAGAAGTGTTGCCTGAAAGCAGAGTTCTTGAAATGCCAGCAGGAACTGGTGCTGCTCAGAGCTCAGAAGACGGAAGGCTTGCCCTGCAGCAAGAAATACATGTGTTACTGCCAAGCCGTGTGGCAGAAGCGGAAAGCAAAGCTGGTGAGGTCTGCAGAGGGGAAGGCTGAACTGATGGGGAGACTCAAGAATACAGAGATGCACTTAGGGGTGCTGAGGGAGGCACAGAGTTCCTGCAGGGGCCCAGAGAAAGAAGATGTGAAGAAGTCAGAGCTGTGGGTTGGCTGGTTGGCAGTCCCTGTCATCCCTAAGGTGGGGGGCAAGGGCAGGAGTCATTGTGGGCTGCTACTTCCATAGGACACTGCTTCCCTGGTATCCCTCACCCTGCTGTATAGGTAACCGCGTTATAAGTGAGGATCCTGCTGTTGTGAGGAGGTGGAATCACCAGATGAATCCAAATAATCGATCTGGCTTCAAAGATGCCCTGCAGACAGGTGCTTTGTCCATACTGTGTCTGTCCTACACTGTGCCACGTTGTTGCTGGATCCCTTGCACAGTGTTGGGTCTGTAATGGAAATAATGTCCCTGGTAGCCAAACTGGTATTAGAGGGACTGGGAGCTGATCTCTGCTAGTTGAGTTCCAAGGACGGTTATTGCTGGGGGAATCTTGATTTAATACCTGGCTGGTGGAACCTGCATGGAAATGGCTCAATTGTCTTACTGTACTTCTCTCCTCTTGGCTAAGGCTTGGTTTCCTGTGGTGCAGCTAACATATTGAGGGCTGTCGTTCACACTTTTTAAAGTTCACTTCCCCAGGTGTCGTGCCCTGCATCAATGCCCTGGCCTGCTTGGACCAGCAGTTTCACCTGCACTGTGAAGTTGGAGGCTGAAGAAAAAGGTGCTTATGGGACTGCTGCCTTTCCCCCTTTTCTCAAAAAGATGACTGCAGTCCAGAGAGAAGTTGGATCTCAGGAGAAAAACAGGCCCTTAACAGCAAGGTAAGGGGTAGGTTGCAGGCTACTGCCCCACACCATGTTCTGTCTTCTGTCCCTTGTTTGGGGTCTGTACTGAGGCTATGTGGAAGGTCTTGATGAGACGCAGGTTGCTGGAAGGAGCCCTGGCCAGAGCTAACAGATCTGTCCTGGGTAGTCTTCTCTTCCCTCCCTTTTTGAGAGAGGGGTGTGCAGGACTCAAATGCTCCTTCATCCTCCTGTGTCCAGACAGAGAAGGGGAGCAGGGTAGAACAGAGGGAGTAACAGAAATACTTGCCAAGTTGATGTTTTCAAGTCCTGCTGGTTTATGAGTATCAGAGTTAGCACCTTCGCACCCCGTAAGTTAAATTCATCTCCACGTGTACAGTTCTCCAGCCCCATGGTCAGTCTGGATGGCAGCTGACGTGATTGCCTCTCTACTGCTGGAGCATTCAGCTCTGTCTATGGACTGCTCTGTACAGCGGACATCTTTACCCAAGAGAAGCAAGGTACCTTTTGGCTTCCAGCAAGGAAGCGGGTTTCTGGCTGAGGAAATTTATCTGGACAAGTATCACATTCTCTTTAACTTTTGGGGGTGGTGAGAATTTATTTATTTATTTATTTATTTCAACTTCTCTTTCTCACACCCTCCTGAAACCTTTACCTCCCGTGTCATGGGCGAGCAATATGGGCTGCTCCCACACGGTGGCACTACTTGCCTGGCTGCGTCCCGCACTCGTCCCTTCTGCCTGCCCCGGGCATGCCCACCGGTTGCCCAGGGAAAAGCCTGCAGTGGGGCTTGCTGGGTTGTCGTCAGAGCAGAGGACCTTGGCATCTCTCTCTGTGGCCCTCTGCACATGATGCAGCCGGTTGGTGGAGCACAGATCGATCTGGTTGACCTTCTGCTCCTCCTTGCAGGATTTTGGGGAGGGAGAAGGCCGCTGGGTAACGCCAGCTTTGAAAACATTGTGTGATAAGAACAGTCCTGCTCATCCCTAGCTGGCTCAGAGCAGTAATTCTCAAAGCTGCTTCTCTCATCATGGTGGTGGGGCCAAACACCTCCTGTTGCTCCTGTTTTCCGTCCCTCAGCTCTTCCCCAGGCCCCTCTTGTTTCTCTTCACTGCTGCCATGCTGAACTACTTTTTCCAAACATGAGCTCTCCACAACACCTCCAACAAGCTCCATCAACATCTTTGCCCTCCAACCCTGTTCATCCCTCCCAACATCACTATAACTCCCCCACACTCTGCTTTTTCCTATGCTCCTCCTCGTGCCCACATTCCTTGTCCTGTTTGCCCAGTGCTGTTGGGAATCCATCTGAGGGCCTGGGCCATAACACAGACTAGCAGATGGACTGGTCTTTCCCTTCCTGCAGTCAGGCTTTTGATCGTGTTACAAGGGGTCAGGTATCCAGGGCTCTGACAGGCACAAGATCTGGTTAGTTTTGTGGACAAACACGATCCAAATGATTTTATAGCTGAAGAATCTTGGAATGGCAGCCCATTCAGAAACATACCTGCCTGCCATGTTTAGTGAAATGTGTCAGGAAGATGTATTTCAGACAGGACATTTAGCAAATTTCTGTGGGTTTTTTTTCTTCAGGGACTGCAGTTCAACCACACTGCTATCTCAGATGGGAGACTGGCCGTAGGGCTGGGTAGGTAGGGAGCCAGGGTCTTTGGGCTTTGTAGCTCTGCTACTGACATGTCCCCTGCATGAAGTGAGCATGATAGCTGCTTGTCCTAAAAAGAGAGCTAGTGTCAGGAGCATTATGCTATAGAGAGAGGCTGATGCCATGAGTTTCCCTCAGCAACAATCCTCTGTGCTGGGGCAGCAAATGGCTGGCTGGGGGAAGGATTGATCCCCACAGTCAAGGGATTGGTAGTTTGCTGCAGCTGCAGCAGGTATTGAGGTCTGAGGTCAGCTGTGCTGTGAACTGGGGGCACTCCAGCCTGCTCACCCTCTCTTTTTCTTTTTTCTTTTTCTTTTTTTTTTTTTTCCCCAGCAAGCACAGCTGACCAATAAAGAAGAAATATTGGAAAAGCATGAGGACCTAGTGGAAGCTTCACCCCCAGACCTGACTTGTCCTAGCCCTCCTACTTCTCTCCTTCAGAATTGCTTTGCAGTACCTTACCAAGAAAGGGAAAAACTTCTGGATATAAATCAGGAGAATATGAATGTAGGTGGCAGCTTGCACACCCATCTGCTCAAAGAGCAGCTGGGCATTCTGAGCAGCACCAGCCCTGCTAACAGTGTATCACACTGCCTCAAGACAGAGACTTCAGCATTGCACAGTAGCTCAGCAGGAGATCAGAAAGAGACTGGTGTGGTCTAGGGGAAGCTGGAAAAGCAAATGCCAAACTTAATAGCAGAAAGACAGGCTACAGACTTGAGTACGTGTGTAAATTCGTACAGGAGCACAAAACACATAGACAAGGGATTCTTTGTGGCTGTTAGTGTTTTGAAGACTGCTGCACGTGGTGAAGCTCCCATTTGGCTCTTCTGTTTTGGATGGAAGGCAAGACTTGACAGATCAAAGGTGGAGAAAGCCCCATGGCTCAGCGGTGGAGACAGAGGAGGAAGAGAATTGCAGGTCCTTAACACGCAGGAGCAGGAGTATATAATGGAGTGGGAGAATGTGAGAAGACCAGTGGAGAATATCTTTAAAGACTATTTCAGCAGACTGGGATTTGCTCCAGTGCAAGGTAGCAATCCCTGCTGGTTTGGAGGGTGTTGGAGAGAGCAGGCCAAAGCAGGTTGAGAAGGAGGGACTTCTCCATAAAGAACATAGTGGGCTTCTTCCTTGATCTGCTGACTCTTAACTTCTTCAGGCCTGGCAAAGCTCTTTTTTATCTTGCTGCTTGTGCTGGTTTTGGCTGGCATAGAGTTCATCTTCTTCATAGTAGCTTGTATGGTGCTACGTTTTAGTGTTGTGAATAAAACAGCCTTGATAACACATGCATGTTTGAGCAATTGCTGCGCAGTGCTTACACAGAGTCAAGGCCTTTTGTGCTCCTCACACTGCCCCACCAGTGAGTAGGTTGATGGGGTACAAGAAGCTGGGAGGGGGCACGGCTGGGACAGCTGCCCCAGCTGACCAAAGGGATATTCCATACCGTATGACATC